AATTTGAGATGTAACTAAATGCACTGCAAGAAAAATATTAACTAAGTTAGTCAATTTTGTCTTAAAATAAGTGTTTTTTTTAAATGAGGTAAGTGAGACACTTTGCTAAAGGAAGAAGACGTTGAAATAAAAAAAAAACTTATTTTAAATGCATATCTGAATCTGAATTTAAGGGCAAAAATATTAGCAGATCATCTTGTTAAACAGTAAATACACTTATTTAAGATTTTTTTTCTTCATTTTTAAATATTTTTTGCAGTGTGGAGCTTAAGTTTTAAAATATGGACATAATGATGTTGCTTAATAAGATCCCTGATCATTTTCTTAAAGAAAACCTTCTATCTCTGGACAATATCAAACCTGCTTTAGCTATGAGCATACTCTGTCTCACTGTAACATACAGACGGTCAGATGAGACGGTTTATCTCGTAAAAGACGATCCAGATCAATGTCACCTGTTCCTTGGTCGTCATCGTTGGGGAACAGGTCATCCAGGCTGTCCTTTGAAGAGTCTCCTCCTCCTCCTCCTGCTGCTGCTCCTTTCCCTCCACTCCCTCCGGAGCTCTGGCCCTTCTCCTCCGACAGAGAAACGTCGTCGTCAATCTTCTTGATCTGATTCATGAACTCCAGGTGCTTCTTCTCCTCCTCCAGCTGAGCGACGCACTGCTCGCTGCGCTGCAGCTTGTGCTGCGTTTCCGCCAGCTCGTCCCGCAGCCACTGGTTCTCCTGGCAGAGCCGACGCACCTGGGCGCGCAGCTTCTGCTTCTCTGACTCCACGGCGCTGAGATGGTTGGACAGAGCAATGATAACCTGAGGGGGAAAAAGGGAGAACATGATCAGAGGATGTAGGAGCAAAGCTGAAGAGCAGCAGATTAAACCAAAGCAGACCTGCGCCTCTCCCAGGCCCAGCTCGATGTCTTCCAGATTCTTCCTGAGGAGGCCGGACTTCTCCTGGGCGATGGGAGGCTGGGTACAGTCCAGGAGCGAGTGGAGGAGCTGGGTGTGTTCGCCACGCAGCGTCTCCAGGCCCTGCATGACGGCCTTAGTGTTGAGGACGATCTCATCCTGGGTCAGGCGCTCCAGGGCTTCATCGCGCGGATACACCATGGTGGACATCGCCTGGTTTTATGCACACTGTTTAAAATATATAGTTATAAATATCTATAAAATATATATTTATATATGTTTACTGTAAACTCGGATCATTTATACCTGGCTACTTTGTTAAACAATATCGATCTGACTTCTTAACGATTCATTAGCTAAATAAAAAAACAAGAAAAAAGACGATGGATGTTTTCATTTTGACATTTAAAGAACTTTATTCCTTTTTTCCATTAATACATGATATTCAGAGCCATTTAATAAAAACTTTTCTAATGTGAAACTACTAAAAAACTGCAGACTAGGCGATAAAGATTATCAGATCCATGTTTTAACAACGTCTTTTTTTTTTTAAGAAAAAAAGCTCAGCAGAAAGCAACCAAAATTCTAGTAATTAAATTTTATGACATTCATAGCGACCCCCTTTAGTTTAAAAAAGCAGCAAAACAACCATTTTAACTTTTGTTCCCACAATGAACAGGAAATGGATTTGCATACGTTTGGAGCGTTATCAAAATACAGTGCAACTACTTGTTTTGCACTGATGCTAATCCACACGCAAACGTTAGATCAGACAAGACGACAATTTAGCACAAAAATTGATGCCAGATGTGGCAAAAAACTTCTTCAGTTGCTCGATTTATTATTTTTGGAAGAAGCGAAAGCAAGAGGATTACTTCAGCCTGTTTTTGGGCAAAAGAAAGAATGATGTAAGCATTTGTTTTGAAAAAGAAATCATTATGCAGATCAGGCAGGAGCATGTGCACATATTTATATGTTTGCCTACTTTTGTGTGTGTATTATTATTTACTCTTTATGTTGCCTGTCATTTATTATCTCCGAAAAAGTAGGAGTCAAAAACTGAACAACAAAAAACAAAAAGCATTTGGCTTCTAATGTGAAGAGCTGCAGATTACAGAACGGCGTAGCTGAGTAGACACTGTGGTATGTAAACACGATTGTTTTACTGTATTTAAAGCTACTAAATTTTTAGTTGTATGAATGTCGCTAATCTTAAAGCGTAACTCATGCTATTGTAAAAGATTAACCTCGCCCTTAGGCGAATTTTGAAAATGGCTGCCAAGTTTCATCGGGGCCAGGAGACCTTGGGGGTTGGGATGAGAAGTGAGGGTTTTAGGGCGGATTATACTTCTGCAACCGCACGCATCAAATGTCGCTTGAGTCTGGTC